TGCCACAGGAATGTCAGGTAGAGGGTGAAGAAGCAAGTACCGCATCTATATGTGAACAGCATAACAATGATGTTAGGAAAACCAAGGGATTCAGTATCAGTATTGATACTGGTGTTCTCAAGATATTCTATGAACTACCATTAGACTGCTATGCAGATATTCTGGTCTTGTTTACATAGTAATATTAAGTAGGAAGATACAAATATTCATTAACCTGTACCATTGACATGTTGCAAGGGGGTCAGGGTAGGGGCTATACAACATCACATTTGGTTAAAATTATGCATTTGGATTTTTTTGTCTATATAGCAATAAGAACCGTATTTTAAAAAGAAAGAAAAAACTAGGAATAGCTGTGGATCCTTGTTGACCATGTACTTTGTGACAAGCAAAGGTTTGCTGCTCTGTAACATGTGAAATGGGATGTGGGCGGTGCTGTGGGTTAAACCACAGAGCCTAGGACTTGCCGATCAGTAGATCAGCAGTTCGAATCCCCGCAACGTGGTGAGCTCCCATTGCTCGGTCCCTGCTCCTGCCAACCTCGCAGTTCGAAAGCATGTCAAAGTGCAAGTAGATAAATAGGTACTGCTCTGGCGGGAAGGAAACGGCGTTTCCGTGCGCTGCTCTGGTTTGCCAGAAGCGGCTTAGTCATGTTGGCCGCATGACCCGGAAGCTGTACACTCAGCCAATAAAGCGAGATGAGCGCTGCAACCCCAGAGTTGGTCACGACTGGACCTAATGGTCAGGGGTCCCTTTACCTTTTTTAACATGTGAAATGACCTTAAATCGTGCCCTCCATTAAGGCTCTTTCTAAGCTGTATGGACTTGGACAAGCGTACTGATAAGAGTACCCTGTAAGATTTGCTTTTTTCTTCTCTTGAAACAAGACCTCCTCACACAAAACCTATATACTCTCAGAATCCCCATAGGAACTAAAACTTTTTTAATGCCCCAACAACTGGTATAGCTGCCCTGGTCTCTGACTTAGCTTGATTTAGGTCTGTGAGCATATAATAGTTTATGATTAAAAACCAGGGCATTGGAATTTGAGATATGGACTATTACTCCTCTTTGACAAGAGGTAACAGCATCTTCTAAGGAAGAATATTTGGTAGTATTAATCCGCTGCTTTGTCAAAATAAAATAAAATTGCAGTGTGAACTGTTGCATAAAAGAACTGCTTTAAACTGAATAAAGCTCCAAGGCGTGTTTTTTGTTTGTTTGTTTTTAAGAGTTAGACATCTGGCATACCTAGAAATTTGTTTTGTTGATTAATAACTGCTATGGGACATAACCATTTTGCACAGGGTTTTTTCTTGCCACAAAGGCTGAAAAATGCTTTAATATAAATTCAAAAGAGCACCCCTTGATCTGCACAGATGATTTACATCATAATATTGTAGGTGAATGTATTGGTTTGAAATTCTGAATTATTGCAGTTCGTTTCAAATGCCGAATAATTTATGCAGGAATAGTTGTATAATTAATTCAAAATATCATTATTACTTAAGTGAATCATCTAATGTACAAACAACAGAATAATTGACTATTTAACAGCACTTAACATTCCGGCATTCATTCAAGTTGTTTTTTGCCCTCCTAAAAGGAGCATTTATAAATCAAATCTGTATTATTTAAAATGTAAAAAATGACAATTCCTGTGAAGTAGTACTTTATGCCACAGTACAGTTGCTGGTGGCATATAAATAATATGTTTGTACTATGGGCAGCAATTTCCCATTTTCTATTCCTCGCTCTCCCGCCTCAAAAATATGATGATTAGTTGGTTTTTGTGGTTTAGCTAAATGAAAAAAGTGCTTATAAATGAAAGTGGATTCAGTTCAACAAACTTTCACAGGTGGATGCCGGATCTTAGTGGATAAAAAATGATTCTTTAGATGTCCCTGAAACACAAACACACCAATTTTGCTCCTACAGCTGCTGGATTTATCAATCTGTGTGAGAGAGAAGACATTGTGAAGTGTGACAGCCACTGTTCATTCAGTTTTTCTAATGCATGACACGATCAGTTCTGGGAATCTGGAGGTGGAAATGTTTCAGAAACCTATCCATTACATTTAGGCAGTGCATCATCCAACAGAGCAAAACAATGCAAGCTGAAATTCATGTTCTCTCTCTCCAATCACAACATTGCTATTTTGACACCTGTATTATGCCTTGACGAAGACTATTCAGAAACTCACTTTAAAATGTAAACACATACTGACTTCTGCAACCTATCTTGGGGGCCCTCAGGCGCAGCCCTCTTGGGAAAGGTGAAGTATGGCCTCTGACCTTCTAGGGTGATCCATGCAGTATGAGGATGGTGGCATTTGTGGGGAGCCACAGACCATTTGCTGCTGCAAAGGCCCTGGCTAGTGGCCAACTTTACCACTGCCTGGAGTCAGCACTATAACTGGCATTTACCTTATGGCTACATAGAGAAAGGGAAGAGCAAACTATTCCCAAGTCAAGAGCCTAAGGACAAAGGGTTGCTAGGAGGTTGTGGTACTGTGCTGGGCGTGGGGGTAACCCGTGAAACACGGTCCAGGTCCGGTCCAGAATCCGAAGGTTCCGCTGGGAGTCAGTCCAACAGGGCCAAGGCAGGAAACCAGGCAAGATCAGGTGCAGGATCTAGCATACAGCAATGTTGCTCCTGCAACCTGGGGTGGGGTCCAACAGCCTTTTATCTTTGTCGGGGTAGCGGCTGGTCCTGATCTCCTGGCGACTCACCTCTCTGTTTCACCTGAAAGCGAGCACTCCTCCTGTGAGTACCCAGGTCTCTCCTTCTCTCAGACCTCAGTCTCTGCAGCTCGGGAGACGTCGGTGGGTTACTAGACCCAGGGGCCGCCTCAGCCTCCCCTGACCAAGTGGAGCAGCTGTAAGTGATGGTCCAGTTGAAGGCAACGAGGTAATGCCCGCATCTGGAGTCAGGGCAGGCTCAGGCCCATAGCTGTCAACGTTTACCATTTTTTAAGGGAAATTCCTTTATTCTGAATAGGATTCCTTGCAAGAAAAGGGAAAAGTTGACAGCTATGCTCAGGCACCTGACTCGGCCCAGCTGGTGCTTGTTGCAGGGGAACCTGTGCAAACTGGGACTCTTCGGGGTCAGGCCCCAGACTTGGTTCAGATGGTGCCCGAGGCAAAGGATCTGGTGCAGACTGAGTCTCCTCTGGTTCTGAGTCCGAGCCTGAGTCCCAGGCCATCACAGGCACTCACCCCCACCCAAGGGTATCAGCCTGGTCCCTGCTTGATTTAAATACTTCTTTAAGTTTTCTGGCATTATCAGCATGAGATCCCACACCCTCGTTCCTGTGTGTGTCTAGTCTAGTCGAAAGTTGCATGCACATTCAAAACACATTTCCCTCAAGAATTCTGGATTTACCCCTCAAAGAGTTACAATTCCCCAAACTCTTAAGAAACTACAGCATCCAGGATGCTTTGGGGGCTGGGGAGAATGTGCTATGAATGTGCTTTAAAGGTATAATGTGTATATAGACCAGGCATCCCCAACCTTTGGCCCTCCAGATGTTTTGGACTACAATTCCCATCATCCCTGACCACTGGTCCTGGTAGCTAGGGATCATGGGAGTTGTAGGCCAAAACATCTGGAGGGCCAAAAGTTGGGGATGCCTGATATAGACTAAGCGTGCCTCCTGCGTTTTAATCCTGTTGGTTGTTTTATTCTCCTTTTATGATTGTGTGGCTTTGAATATATTACAATTTTTGTATTTATGTTTTTTACGCTGGCTTGGTCATGTCTACAGATGGCACTTGGTTTTGTTCTGCAAGGATATAGCTTCAGCGTGCTTCGTATATATGGGTCTTAAATGATAAACACAATTTAGCAAAGAAGGATATGATGTCACTCTACTTTTATTCAATACCTAGGGACCAGAGAGTACAAACAAATACAATTCAGTTAGTATTGATACCCATTGCTACTGTGGAATTGAAACTGACAACAACCTTTATCTTTCAATTAATTAAGACACTTAGCCCACGGGTATTAAATTACATGATGCATCTTAATTATGTCCCACTACATTCTTTGCAGTGTCCATAGCCCTTCATGGCGGCTTTGCAAATAGCTACTGTATACTTTTCACTGTTTTGTTTTATGGCATAACTCATGGCATAAGCATGAGTTTAGGTTCCAGCAAGGATGGTGAGGCATGGGAGGTAAAACAAAGTCCAAAAGAAGGAGAGGGCAGATTCTGGTAAAGAACTGACCAAGCAGATCAGATTTTGTACTGTCCATGAATACGTTTGCCAATCTCTTTTTTTAAAAAATAATTTTTATTAACTGGCCAATCACATCAAATTAAATCATATCACATAAATTCCGAATTACAAAGCCGAATTTTAAATTTTGTTGGGGGGACCCATATTTCAAGATCCGAAGGGGAATTCTGATCATCTTCTTGCTGCTGCGTTAATGTCCCAATCAGTCCAAATCAGTCCAAACAGAGTTCATAATTCTATCCCATCTTATCTTGCTGTTTCCACATCACATCTTGTTCATATATTTCTCTTTTTTCTTTATGATCTCTTCTGATAGTCTCCTTAAGCCGATAAACACCAATAGTAATAATAGTCCTGTGTGAATTTTCCGTTCTTCCAATCCTCAAATCGAGATGGTTTCCATATATCATCTCCTTCATAGATAACATCACTCTTTCCATCATAGTCTCGTAAAACTGTCGCTCTTAAGTCCCACTGAGGAGTTTAACACACAATATATAAACAGCTCTATTTCTCTCTTTCTCCTCCCAGACTCAAGACCTCCGACAGAATTTCCCAATATGGCGACAGCATTTTTAACTGCGTCATTCCAGAGCTCTTACACATTCCATGCTCTTCTTAAAATGTGCTTTGGTTTGAAAGTTTATCTCCACACAGCCTTAAATCCACAGCTTAAGTCCTTAAAACGACATTTCTGACTTGTGAGGGGAGGGGATTCTTGTTTAATCACATAGGGAAAGAAAGGAGAGTTTTTTCCCCCTCCCCCATCAGTCATTTGCCGTACCTTGTCTTGGCGTATCTTCTCATGTTTTATTCTTATCTTGTTTTGTCAGAGATCTCTTCTGTTAGCAGTCTTTACTCCCCCTTCTTTCTTGAAATATGTGCATTCCTTTCATCCAAATTGTTTCCTTTGAAGTTCTGCATCTAGTGGCGCGGATCAGGGATGGCGTCCAGGAGTGATGAAATCCCACAGGAGGGCTTTGTGCCTAGTGCCCCCACCCCCACAAATTCGGGGGTGGTATAGGGCACAGCAGGCAAGGGCCGTCCCCCCCACAATCCTGGGGGGGGTTAAGGAGGCTAATTACCCCCATCATAGCCTCCAAATTACCTCGTGTGGGTCGGAGAGATGTTATTGTCAGCCATCTTCCAATGCGCCCCCTAGTGGCCCCCACGTTTGCCAATCTCAGCACTATTAGTGTGAACTAGACCACACAGCAAACAATTATGTTTTTGTTTATCTATGCTATTATAGAATATAAACCAACAATTATCTCCTGTTCTTGTACTCTAGTTTACACCAGAATATCTCGTGCTGTAGAGAAATGCCTCGTGGAAAAAAATACAATGGTACCTTGGGTTAAGTACTTAATTCATTCTGGAGGTCCATTCTTAACCTGAAACTGTTCTTAACCTGAAGCACCACTTTAGCTAATGGGGCCTCCTGCTGCCGCCACGCCGCCGGAGCCCAATTTCTGTTCTTATCCTGAAGCAAAGTTCTTAATCTGAAGCACTATTTCTGGGTTAGCGGAGTCTGTAACCTGAAGCGTATGTAACCTGAAGCGTATGTAACCCGAGGTACCACTGTAAACATCGCCAACTTAACCTGATCCCTTACAAAGAGAAGAGAGCTGATACAAATTAGCAGGACACAGTCCTTGCCCACTTTATGTGATTAGCAAGCATTACGTCTCAAGGAATTATGGAATACTTGTGCTTTTTCAAACCCACAAAGAATACAAACTTTGAATCAAATTCCACAATGATGAATGCAATTATACATTTTCACCTCATGAATCCAGCTTCCCAACAAAGAGACTCGATCAGCATCAAACATCCAAAAATGAAAGATGCTAGCAGAAATTGTGTTAGTGAAGTTGTGGTAGCTTTCTCTCCTACTGTGATGTGATAGAATTGTGGAGCTGGAAGGTTCTCCAATGGTTTTCTAGTCCAACCCGCTGAAATGCAGGAATCTCAACTATATTTACAGTCCTCCTCATTAATTAACAGGCTTATCAACATGCCTAAGCTTTTGTTCAATCAGTCATATTGCTAACATGAAGCATGTTTAGCATTGTACCTTACAGCCTTCTAGTATAAATCTAAGCAGGCATGTCCTGTTGAGACATTGATGCCTAATAAAAGTTTGGCAAAGTAAAAGACACTGATAGAAAGGTATGATAGTCTACATGTTAACAAAGTGGGACTTTCCATCTTTAATATTGTCCTTTCTACCCTGTTTTACCCTGTTTAATTTCGTGGTGACAGCAGCCACGAAATTAAAATACGCCTGCTTCTTGGGAAAAAAGCAATGACAAACTTAGACAGCATCTTAAAAAGTAGAGACATCGCCTTGCCAACAAAGGTCCGTATAGTAAAAGCTATGGTTTTCCCAGTAGTGATGTATGGAAGTGAGAGCTGGACCATAAAGAAGGCTGATCGCCAAAGAATTGATGCTTTTGAATTATGGTGCTGGAGGAGACTCTTGAGAGTCCCATGGACTGCAAGAAGATCAAACCTATCCATTCTGAAGGAAATCAGCCCTGAGTGCTCACTGGAAGGACAGATCGTGAAGCTGAGGCTCCAGGACTTTGGCCACCTCATGAGAAGAGAAGACTCCCTGAACAAGACTCTGATGTTGGGAAAGATGGAGGGCACAAGGAGAAGGGGACGACAGAGGACGAGATGGTTGGACAGTGTTCTCAAAGCTACCAGCATGAGTTTGACCAAACTGTGGGAGGCAGTGGAAGACAGGAGTGCCTGGCGTGCTCTGGTCCATGGGGTCACGAAGAGTCGGACATGACTAAACGACTAAACAACAACATCCTGTTTTACAGCAACGCGCCAGGATCAAAGTAGCATTAAAAAACTAAAACTTTCAAACCACACTGAGTTCTTGTTATTTTTTGCACAGGTACGTCAGATGAGAGGTGTTGGGGAGAAACTTTGTAAGGAAAAAATGTGTTTGGAAGGAACGGAAAGTGAAACTTGCGTTCCTAAGGATTCATAATTAAATAAAAGCCACACTTTCCATAGGAAAGAGCTCTCTCTCTGTGTGTTTTAAGGCTATGTGGTTGTTTAAGAGTCTGTCCTTCCCACTACCGGAATGTGTCCCTGTGGGAAAATGTGTGGTCCTTGGTGCAAAAATCTTCCTCACTTCTGTGTTACAGTGTCCTCAACATTGAGTACTATCAACCTATAGATGTATCATCTGGGAATTACAAGCATGAATCTATCTGGAAAACTTGAAAGCAAATTCTAGTGTTGTTTCATCAACAATATAGTTGAAGGAAAGAGCAAATTAATACCTTCCACTCTCTCTCACCTTGAAATCCATTCTTTGCCACAGTTAGCAGAGAGTTATGCCCTATTTTATTATTATTAAAAATTAACTTTAATAGGGCAAAAGCTGTGAAATTATCAGTAGGCTCATTTTCCCACAGAAACATACAGTGCAATACAGTAATATTTTTCTAAGAATAGTTTTCAGTCAAACACTCTCACCCTCTGGTAACTTTCTATTATAGAAAGGTTTGCTTTTAATGGGCTGTTGCTCTGAGACATCAACATTATTAAAAAAAATACTATTGATACTATTGAAGTAGTTTAGGACAAATTCCAGACAACTTGAAAGGTTGTTGGAAGAATCCGAGAATCATCTGAGGTGCCAGGGGCAACTAATCCTTCCAATTAAAAATCCTTCCAATTAAAAATTTCATTTTTCTTTCATTCCATCCCCCAATGGAGTTCAGATGGTATACACTGTGTTATCCTATTTTACCTCACAACTCTTAGAACTAGCTTGGGCTGAGCCCAAGGATGAGTTCATGGCTAAAATCAGGCTAACCAAGCCACTCCACTGACTTCACTACACTTTGCTCTGGAATACGTAACATTTGGTAGTGGAACCAAATGTTCCACTATTTACCTCCCAATTGTTCCCCATGGAAACGTCATGAATTTGCTCCTTGGATGATAGCACTAGAATTTGTGGTGCCAATCACTGGCTGTTTGCTGAGCACACAGAATTAATTTGTAGTTGATGTTGGATGTTTTTCCCACACTGCCTACATCATACTTCTATTTGCATGATATACAGGAAAACTGAATAAAGACATTTCAACAAAGGAACCACTACTGGATAAATTTTGCTGAATAAACTGTATGAAAAATACCAGAAATAATACAGAGCCTTTGCTTCTAAAACAAGAGATCTATCTGTACTTCTACCACCTGCAGAAACCTCACGTTTCCTCCTCTGCAGGATGGCAAGATCCTGCATCGAGCTAGTGCGAATCTAGCACATGACGAATCAGATTGTTTTCCCCACCTCCCCCAAAGTTTGTGAGTGTCCATTAATTCACCATTAGAGTGGTATAGTTGCTGTTCGAGCCAACTCTGTGTGTGTGTGTGTGTGTGTGTGTAAATCTGGAGCTTACCTTCTGCATCTTTGGTCAACTGTAGATGTAATTGTGAGAATCAGTATATTTATTTTTTTGCTGTTTGCACCAATGGCTGGTTGACAATCTGGTTTGAGAATAATTTCACAGCTGTAGCTGTAGGCATGCTCCTAACATACCATCCTATTCTTGTGTTGCTCTAACCAACAAATGACAAAGTTATGAGCATGGTGTGTGTGTGTGTGTGTGTGTGTGTGTGTGTGTATCACTTGGTATTCCAGAAGTCTAACCCTGTGGGAGACTAGGAGAATAGAAGGTGCTATTTGTGCCAGTCTGAGCTGGGGTGAACCTGGTTATCGTGGTTAACTTTTATCTGAAACTGCTAATTGCTGTCATGGGCAATATCAGTGTGCATGACTGAGAAGTTTCTCAGTCTAATGTCAAGTCTGACAGAAACCATAATTGAAAACCAGAGGGCAATGCCTGACCTACAACCTCTGCAGAAAGTGGAATGATGCTCAAACATGTTCCACACAAATGAAAACATTGAGGATCCATTCTGAATTTTCACAAATGCTGGATTTTGTTTTTGTGGTAGAAGAAAAAGCAGTTTCATGAGTACAGTATTCTGGAAGAGCAGCTGAATAATGATCTCTTGAGAGTCCCATTGACTGCAAGAAGATCAAACCTATCCATTCTTAAGGAAATCAGCCCTGAGTGCTCACTGGAAGGACAGATCGTGAAGCTGAGGCTCCAATACTTTGGCCACCTCATGAGAAGAGAAGACTCCCTGGAAAAGACCCTGATGTTGGGAAAGATGGAGGGCACAAGATAAGGGGGTGACAGAGGATGAGATGGTTGGACAGTGTTCTCGAAGCTACAAACATGAGTTTGACCAAACTGTGGGAGGCAGTGGAAGACAGGAGTGCCTGGCATGCTCTGGGTCATGAAGAGGCGGACACGACTAAACAACAACAAAAATGATGATATCATGTGGAAGAATGCCAAAAGATTTAAAAACAAAAACAAAAAAAGCAACTATACTAAATATAAAAGGTGAATGTGGAAAGGCCCACAGACAGCAAATGGATGTAAGAATGGGGGCAGGGAATGGTGAAGAAAGAGCTGTGAGTGGAGGGGGACCTTCTTTCCATCGTTTGGACCCCCTGGAAAACTCAACAAACCTGCTGGAACTGGGTGTGGAAAGTGAAGCTGAACAGGACACAGTTGTGGGCAGCCTGAGAAAGTACCACTCACCTTGGGCCTGCCCATAAAAAGTTAGACTAGGGTGATGTCTGATGTTTCCAGGAAGTTTTCTCCTTGTGAGAATTTTGTGGGTGAGCTAAGATCCTGGGTCAGAATTTGGAGGCTGAGAGGGAGGGTGTGTCAGAAGGAAAATGCATATATATGTACAGTGGTACCTCTGGATGCGAACGGATCCATTCCGGAGCCCCATTCGCATCCTGAAGCAAATGCAACCCGCGTCCGTGCGTCTGGCGATTCACTGCTTCCGCACATGCACATGACGTCATTTTGACCATCTGCGCATGCGCGAGCAGCGAAACCCAGAAGTAATGCACTCTGTTACTTTCGGGTCGCCGCAGTGCGCAACCTGAAAATACTCATCCCGAAGCTACTTTAACCCGAGGTATGACTGTATATGCCCATGTGTAAGTTTGTATTAATGTAACATTTTTAAATGTAACTGCATATTTTTGTAATATTTTGTTTAAGTAGTCTGTTGGGGCTTCAGTTTCTGTATACTGCTTCAAGATATTTTAAATAAATTAAGCAGTATAAAAATTAAATAATAATATTTGCATGCATGGGAGAGTAAAAAATTGCTGTGCAAAGTAGCTACCATTTGTATTTCTATACCCTCAGATACATTATTTCACGAACCAGGTGTTGGGAGTTGGAGTCCAC